ATTAGTTGTCTAACTACACTATTTAAAATAAAAATTAATAACTGAAAAATTTAGATATTTGAGTTTAATAAATAAGTCTTTATGGAAAGTTACCATTTATTTGTAAATAAAATGAAGAAACCATAAAATCGCTACAAGTGATTAAGAATTAGCAAAATATGGGAAATGTTTGCTAGCAGCACGTATTTACAAAGCAAATAATCCAAATTTACAGAGATTCCCACTGTTTTGAAAATGTGAAGGAAAGGTTTGAATGAACAGCAAATGCGAATTTTGAGAAATCTACCAGGAGACATAAAAGTAACAACGATAATATTTAGTTTAAAGTTGTGGCGTCTGCTGTTGAAAATCCAAATATTAGTGCCAGGAAATTAGTAGTAACTTTAGAGTTTTCAAAAGCTTGACAAATAAAATATCGAAGAAGAAGTTTCATCCGTATCATATTGAAAATCAAGCACGGTTACCGTAGTTAGGAAAGTTATTAGTTAAATTGGAGATTAAAAAATCTGGATGAATAGAATTTTGAAAAAGAATACTCATAGTCGCAAGCTAACTTAAAATAAATGTTCAACCTGTCCACCGTTGTTTTCTATATAAAGCATTAATCTACGATGAAAATGAATGTGGACATTTCTTAACATTTGAGGCGTTACAGTTAGAAACTCGTTTTGAATCTTTTCTTTTAAGTCTTGAATATCCGTTAGTGGTACTTCGTATACTCGTTCCTTGATATAACTCCACAAGAAAAAGTCCAGACTATTTAAGTGAGGCGAACGTGCGGGCCAAGGAACTGGACCACCACGACCTAACCACTGGTTTGTATATACGTGATTTAGGTGTTGTCTAACCTGAAAGATAAATAGATAATAGGAAAAGTATAATAACAATAAAATAATCACATTAGAGCCAAAGTGGAATGTGGAGGGGCACCATCATGCTGAAACCATTGTTGAACCAAATAATCAGCGGGCATATGTACCTGAAGAAGGGGAAGTTCATTTTACAAAAAATGCAAATACACATTGGCATTTAAAGTTGCCTTCAAAAAAGTACGGCCCAACAATATGTTCTCCACAAATTCCAACCCACACGTCCACTTTGAAACGATGCTGATGATCTATTTCCCTCAATAAGCTGGGAATATTGTCAGCGTAGTGGTGAAAGTTGCGACGATTGGGAAGCATGTGTTTGAAAATGTGAATTCGTCAGTAAACAAGACATGCATAGTGGCAAAATTGATGTTTTTCAATATGATATGGATGAAACTTATACTTCTTCAATATCATATTTGTCAAGCTTTTGGAAACTCCAAGGTTATTACTTATTTTCCTTACACTTATATTTGGATTTTCAATAGCAGACGCCACAACATTAAACTGAATATCATTATTGTTACTTTCATGTCTCCTGGTAGTTTTCTCATAATTCGCATTTGCTGTTCTTTCAAACCTTTCCTTCACTTTCTCTGATAGTCGAGGAAATAAAGCACTGAACCTCTGAAATCTGTGCAGTAAGATGGATCGTGATGCGGTTTTTTGCATTCGATTCATTAGAGCATCCAGAAAGTTTGTGACCCTATGTGATCAATGAGAAATGAAAATTACAGCTCGAAGAGTTAAAATATGAAAAATGTATAACTCGGAAAATATTGACGGACATGAGTTCAATTTTGCTACTCGGGGGTTTTTGGGGTCGCTGAACACGACGGCAACGGTCTCCGAGGTACCTAGTGCCCAGGGTGGCTGGTTTCCACGACGTCACCTGGAGTTTTGTGGAAATTCGTTATAAACTTAACCAAAACTCGTTACCTCGGGGTTTTTGGGGTCGCTCAACACGAATATCACGACGGCAACGGTCTCCGAGGTACCTAGTGCCCTAGGGTGGCCGGTTTCCACGTCGTCTCCTGGAGTTTTGTGGAAATTCGTTATAAACTTAGCCGAAACTCGTTACCTCGGGGTTTTTGAGGTCGTTCGACACGAATATCACGACAGCAACGGTCCACCAAGGATCATGAATATGATTTTCTGTGGGTGCAAAACCGGTTGCGGAACTTCGTGTGGATGTAGGAAGCACGGATTGAATTGCAGCATTGCGTGCAAAAATTGTGCAGGCATTAATTGCACGAATAATGAAAAATATTCTGCAAATGATATATTTTCTTCGGAAGTGGAAATACTAAATGAAGAAGATGAAGAAGATAATAATGAAAATTAAAAAATTAAATAAGAAAAATTAAAATTGTGAAGATATTTATGTATAATATTTTTTAGAAAACGTTTTTTTTGTAATGAATAAATGTATTTTTATAATAAAAAATAATTAAGAATGAAATAGTTCTCGAGTACCTCGAGGACCGTTACCGCCGTGATATTCGTGTTGATCGACCCCAAAAACCCCGAGGTAACGAGTTTCGGCTAAGTTTATAACGAACTAGCTTCTACCCGCGGTTTCGCTCGCAAAGTGATAGAAAATCTTTCGTAAAAAATATTTTTTTAATAAAAAGTATCCCATGTTACTTCTAATACCTCCAAGAATATGTGTACAAAGTTTCATGATGTTCGGTTAAGTAGTTTTCGCGTGAAAGCGTAACAAACAAACCTACATTCACTTTTATAATATTAGTAGGGATATATTATTATGATTATTATTAGTAGTAGGCTTCGCTCGCGGGTAAATAAATATAGAAAATCTTTCGTAAAAAATATTTTTTTTTTAATAAAAAGTATCCTATGTTACTTCTAATACCTCCAAGAATATGTGTACAAAGTTTCATGATGATTGGTTAAGTAGTTTTCGCGTGAAAGCGTAACAAACAAACTTACATTCACATTTATAATATTAGTAGGGATTTACAGAAAACTCCAAGAGACGACGTGGAAACCGGCCACCCTGGGCACTAGGTACCTTCGAGACCGTTGCCGTCGTGATATTCGTGTTCAGCGATCCCAAGAACCCCCGAGTGGTAAAATTGAACTCATTTCCGTCAATATTTTCCGAGTTGTAAATAATTTCATATTTTAACTCTTCAAGATGCAATTTTAAAAATGCATTTTTCTTATGCACCGATGCAATTTTTATTTCTCATTGATCACATAGGGTCACAAACTTTCTGGACGCTCTAACGAATCGAATGCAAAAAACCGCATCACAATCCATCTTACTGCACAGATGTCAGAGGTAAGGCCGTTTTTAGTGCTTTATTTCCTCGACTATGAACTCGCACGTAAATATTCAATAGAAGACGAAATGACATGTAAACTGATTGTCACAAATTTTATTTCCTGACAGGCGCTCACTGCGTTTTTCCCGACAAAAGAACGGGCGCAAATCCGGTATTTTACATAAAAACGTTTTCTTTTTTGCAAAAACTACGTAATTTAGGTATAGGGAAAGCTATTAAAAAATTGTAGGGTCTACAGAAAGGCATCTAATGAAATCATAAAACACAGGGTGTTCTATTTGAAAAAGTCGAGATTTTTCAAATTTTAAATTATCAGGTTTGGCACGATTTTTTTTGCCCCCTGTATATCGCAGACGTTTTTTGAAAGAGCCATCTTCACTCTACAGTTCCTGAAAAAAAAAAAATTCTAGCTGTCATACAAACATAGTTATGTCAACTAAGTGACGAAACATAAGAAAAAAGTCGATTATCTCGAAAACTATCAATATTTTAATAGGGATCATAACACAAAGTCCCATTAATTTTTCAGGTAGAATTCGATAATGCCATAAAAAATATAGGTTTCCATTTAAAAAAAAATTAAGTTGGTACCTGCCCTGGAAAAACTGAACCCCTGTGTGTATACAAATATATTTTTATTTTGTGCAGCTCGGGAATGTAGGCAACTCTGTAGAAAAAAAATTGAGTTATAATATCTTTTATTAATCTAGATATTGGACTTACGCGCACTAGGTGGACACGGTGTATATACGGTGCCCAGGCACTATTAAATGCGTTTGCTAAATCTAACGTGACTACCATGAATTTCTCCCCTTCTATTCCCGGTTATATCTTCATCTAGTACTTCCAGAGCATCCACCGTACCGATGCCTTCTTGAAATCCAAACTGCCTTTCGTCTATGGCCTTGTTTGAGTAAATAAAATAGGTTTATCTTTTCACTAAAAAAAAAACATGTTTGTTTTTTTGTTGCCCTAAGTGCCTGATATAACATAATAAAAATAAAATAATTACTTTTATAGGTTAGGTTAATCTCATATAGGTATCAAGATTTTACAACTTTTACAAGCTCTGTTGAACTGCTGTTACCACCGCAATACATAGTTCCAATAATCGATAGCGCTTATGTTGTCAAATATTTTCTGATAACATTTACATAAAATTCTTATAATTATTATAATCATAAAGAATACATTTTCCAGATATTTTTATTTATTTTTAAAGGGCCATTATAATCACAACTTTTAAGAAGCCTTTAAATTTCGAAGAAAAAGTACAGAATAGACATGACATAATATACTTTTAGATAATATACCCTCTATATTTTAATTATTACATTTGCTGTAATTATTATTAAGTTAATCGTTGTTAAATATATTTATAACATCGAATTTCTCCACGTAATTTAAAATTTACGAGTCTACCTTCAAAAAACGAGGTCAAGTGCATTTCAGAAATAATTTTCCTCCATTGTTTAAAACGAATTTTAACTCTACTGTATGGATAAATAAATATGTATTTACTATCTTTTTTATATTTCATTTAAAAAGTTTTATTATAGTATAGTAATATTTCGTTTTACAATTATTATAGCTGTGTTCTTTTACACATGATTTCGGAATCATACACGTTACGATCTGAAATCTAGCAATTTGATTGGTTTACATCGGATCGTAACACGTTATGATTCCGAAATCATGAGTAAAAGAAAAGGGCTTATAATTGACTCTGTGGTCCTGCCATCTATACGCCATACGTTTAATAAAATATCGGTAATCTATAACCCAGATGTTGGATTGATTTTACCGACAACTTATGTTTTCTCTACTGTTTGTGTTTTCTACAACAAGATCAAGTGATCGATTTATCAATTATTTCGAGTAACGCTCGCTTACCCACGCTAATTTTTATGCGTCTTAATCGACAATTGTGTGTATAGAAATATTTACAGATTTTTATTAAAAATCGTTTTTTTCAAAACGCAAAATTTCTCTATAAATACACAGTTTACCAGGTAAATTTCTTTTTTCCAATATACTTCAATATAATAACTCACATATTAATGTTATTATTAGATTAATATGCCGAAAAAGGGGAAGAAACGGTTGACCCAACGAAAGGGGACCTGTATAAGGGGCCAGCCAACAAGATCTGTCTCCGAGGAGATGGCTGAAGGTACAAATAGTAGTTTTTCTGTGGAATTGCCTCCTCCTCTTATTGTGCCTTCTGCAGAGGCAGCCGTAACGGTTCATGGAGATATACCTCACGCGGTTGAAATACAACAGCATATAGTTCAACCAGTAGCTGCCGTACAGGATAAAAACTCCACAATAAATAGAGTGCCAAGAGATTCTTCCACAGAGGATTTAGTGAAAGCTGCACCTTCTACTTCCTTAGGTAATTATTACAAGTCTATTTTTGAATTTAATTAATTTTATTTTTCATAAATCAATACTAAAATTGGCCGCTCGGTATAATATAAAGCATTGTACATTGAAAATATACAATGTGTCCCAGAAGTAACGCAAAAAATTCGTATTTTATTTTGTGTTGCGTTTTCATAAAATCGTTAAAACACGTCAATTAGTAAAGAATAATTGTCATTTTGTCACGTTGCTTAAATCTTTTTTGCGCTATGTTTCATAAACCTATGACATTATCGACATTTTTTTTAAATAGCACTACCTAATCTTTTAAGCATAAATGGATAGTCCTTTTGAAGATAAATACGTCCATATAGGGTTTGGCCTACTTTATTTTGACAGGAGCGAAAAAATGCCAATGACTGGAATGGACATGGTTTAAAATAACAACAAAAGTAGCTATCATAAACTGATGCGAGAACAGTGCCACAGTAACAAATGGAAATTTAGGGATATTTTGTGTTTTGGTTGATTGTAGGTACGTTTTTATGTATTGATATGTTGGCGTTTTCGGCGATACGACGAATGGCAGTGTGTGGATTTTCAGGGACAGGACATCATTTTCTATCACTGTCGTTGGCCTCCTAGACCTAGACAGATTTCTAACATGACCAGCGTCTTCAAATTTGGGTAGTAATCTGCATACTGTATATATAAGTACCTACTCAACATTTTATTTGTATTAAAATTGCAAAGTACATGTAAAATATTTATAAAATAACTATAGTTATTCTACTGAAAAAGACTATATTTTAAATGGGACACCCATATATTTTTACTTTGGAAGTTAGGAAATTTAAAACTCTTTCAAACTATGTATGGGGTTCCTTATACCTATCTCTAACGGTATTGGAGATATTTATGTCGTTTCATTTTTTTATCGAATTTTTTTTGTAAGATGTATCAACATAGCTTTATCGAGATATTTATTGAATTGGGAAAGCGTTCAAGAAAGCTTTCCAATAAAAAATATTATTTTATAAGCGGAATAATTAATTATAAAAAGTTATTAATTATGTTGTACGTTTGTTGTAATTAATTAGGAACGACATGAAAAATATTTATTAAAGGAAATTTTACTTTTAGAAGAAACAAAGAAAAATTTTAATTGATGATTGAATTGATAACCATTCTCTTGAATACAGCATCTTATTCTATCTT